GACTCGATGATCTATTGAGGTCCCTTCCAACCCTAACATCTATGAATCTATGAATAGGTGCACAGCAGGTCACAGCCAGGCAGCAGCCCCCACTGCCAGACTGCTGCAGTGGGTAAAGGCTGCAGGGAACTCTCAGGGCTGCTTCAGCAGTCCAGCTGGCACAAGTGGTAATGTCCACATGTACCAATTGGCTGGGCCCCAGAAGCTCCTGAGAGCAATTAGCCCTGAGCTACTGGACAGGGCAGCTTTTTGTACTGATGGGGCCAGGACAGGTGCTGGCCCCAGGCTCTAGCTCCCCCTGGCTGCAGATCAAGGAGGAGCTAGGCAGAGTTATTTTGCCCCAAGTGGCAGAGTTTTCCCCACACCAAAGTGCATGTCCAGGCACATGCGCTGAGGCAAAAAGCTCCGGCTCAAATTTGCGTTGCTTCTATTTGAACTGCTGCATGTACACGTGCCGGCATGTGTGGACATGCCCTGAGTGAGATTTCTTATCGTATATTTATTAAAGTTGGTTATATATATTTGATCTTTCCACACACACGTACACCCTGTGATATTTTCTTTATTTTCCAATTAGCTCTAATAATTACTTATAACCCAAGAGCAACACTGCCAACATCCTAGCTACATTTTCATTCTGCTTGTGTTATCAAACAGTCATTATTTTATAATGTTTTTTAAATGTTAATCTTTTAAAATGACTATAGTTTAAACAAAAATACTTAATATTTTCAATTAAAATATTTCTTTACTCTGGAAAAAGCTACATGTATTTGTGTATATAAATATCTAAGAAAAATATGATCCTGTGGAATATCTAGACAAAGTCTGATATTCAGACAGGGGGGTCTTTAACTCTCATACTCATATACTAACAGCTGAAGAGGCATGTTGGACTGTAGTCCAAATAAAGGGGGAAAGGGCTTTTAGAAAACAATCAGAAAATGAACAGTTTTTGCAAAATGTTTCTTAATAATCATTTAATTATGTAGTCTCTATTCTGATTATTTTTTCCCAATTTAAGCAGTAGTGCGATAGAAGTCATTAAGATTACATTACTGTACTTTCCATTTACCAGAAAGACATTTATGGCTTATTTGAAATAGCAGATGGAATCATTCTGAAAATCTTTTTCTTTAATTACATGAGAAATTCCTGTTTTTCTTTTTACCTTTTCAAACAAATTTAAAAATAGACTTGGTTTTGGAACTGCAGAAACTAGTGAATAATTCATTAAGTAATGTTATTGATGTAAATACATTGGTCAGTGTTACATTTACTAGATATTTTTATAGGTACCACTGATGAATATCAGCTATTATTGATTTTCCCCTGAGTTCTATACTCTTATAAAACTTCCTCTGACTTTAGTAGGAGTCTTGTAAGTAAGGTTTTGCTGGGTAAAGTCATCTGCTTGTCAGTCTAAAATAAAATGTTATTGCTTTCTTATAGATGAAATTACTATTATTGTAATCTGCAAAATGCAGGATACATGATGATCAAGCTGGGGGTGATCACCCTCCCATAGTTGGCAAAGATCTTGTGTGGGGACACCTAGAGAGGCTAAATATGTACAAGTCAGCAGGACCGGATGAACTACACCCAAGAGTGCTAAAAGAACTGGCCAACATCATTGCACGACCCATGGCAAAGTTATTTGAAGATTTGTGGCACTCAGGAGAGGTTCCAGAGGACTGGAAGAGGGCCAGTGTGGTGCCTATCTTCAAGAAAGGGAGGAAGGAGGACCCAGGGAATCAGTTTGACCTCAATCCCTAGTAAAAATCTGGGAAATATTATCAAAGAATCCATTATTGATACGTTAACAGAAGGCAGTATTCTAAAGGACAGCCAGCTTGGCTTCATTATGCCTGACCAACTTCATTTCCTTCTACAATCAGGTAACTCACCACCTGAATAGGGGAAATGAGATTGATGTTATTTACTTGGACTTAAAATAGTCCTTCGACCTAGTCTCCCACAATTTCCTCATGGTAAAATTGGGAAAATGCAGCCTCAACTACTTTACAATCTGGTGACTAGGTAACTGGCTCCAAGGTAAGATCCAGAGAGTATTCATAGATAGAACTGAGTCAACATGGCAGAAGGTGACCCATGGCATCCCTCAGGGTTCAGTACTTGGACCAGTGCTTTTCAACACGTTCATCAGTGATTTGCATGTGGGTATTAAAAGCGAACTGGCAAAGTTCATGGACAACACCAAATTATGGGGGAGTGTGATCAGGCTGGCTATACAGGCTGACTTGGACAGCCTTGCGAGATGGACAGATCTCAACCTGATGATGATTAATACAGAGGAATGTAAAGTGCTCCACCTGGGGAAAAGTAATCTGCAACATACTTACAGGGTTGGCAGTGCTACACTTGCCAGCTCCACAACTGAAAGAGACCTGGGTGTCGTGATAGACCACAGAATGAATATAAGCTGCAAATGCAATGCTGTAGCTGGCAGAGCAAATCAAACACTGGCATAAATATACCATGTCTTGAGCAAGATTAAGGATGCCATCCTCCTGCTCTACTCAGCCTTGGTGAGACCGCAGCTGGAGTACCGTGTCCAGTTCTGGGTGCCACACTTCAGGAACTAGGTGGAGAAGCTCGAGAGAATCCAAAAGAGGGCCATGTGCATGATTAGAGGTCTAGAGAGCAGGTCATATGAGGAGAAGCTGAAAGATTTGAAACTGTTCAGCCTGGAGAAGAGAAGACTCAGAGGGGACTTGGTAGCAGCCTATAAGTACATTAGGGGCATACATCAGGGCCTGGGGGAGCATCTGTTCACCAAGGCACCCCAGGGGAAGACAAGAAACAATGGCCACAAACTGACTGAAGATCACTTCAGACTGGACATAAGGAAAAACTTCTTTACAAGTCAAGTGCCGAGGGTCTGGAACAGGCTCCCTCCAGTGGTGGTATAGTCACCCTCCCTGGCGATGTTAAAACAGTGTCTTGACGCTCACCTTTGCTGGGGTCATCTGACCCCAGCAGTCTTTCCTGCCCAAGTGCAGGAGGGCTGGACCCTATGATTTTATAAGGTCCCTTCCAGCCCCTAACATCTATGAATCTATAAAATGTAGAAGGGATATGGTGTTATTTTGGAGATACTTAAAAGTAAAACTGGGAAAATGCTTTAAAAGCCCACAAGTATTCCCTCAATTTGTAAAAGTATTTGCTTCAGTTGTACTCATACCCCCATATATTCACATTCAATTAAAATTCATGTGATAGAGTTTACTTATATGAATAATGGCAGAAAGTCAACTTTAAACTTGCAAAGTCTGATATTTAGACAGGGGGGGTCTTTAACTCTCATGCCCATATGCTAACAGTTGAAGAGGTATGTTGATGAACGATAAGGTTCTGCCTGACGCAACATCTTTCATACACCAATCTGACAAAAACATTTAAAAGACAGAACTGTGGGTGCCACTACTTTCCCTGAATGTGATGACACCACTAATTAACTGTGCAGCAGCCAATAAACTTTATAACAGCCTTTTTTCCCCCTAGGAATAACACCCCAGACAAATTCAGTGAGGAAACTGCAAAGCATTGGCAAGAGAAAAAGTGCAATCCACAAATAAAATATGGAGTGTGAATTCTTTTCTTGGCTTTGTTAAACAGATCATGGGCTTCTGAAATTGTTATTGACAACCAAAGGCGTTCTGCATGTAGCAGAATAGAGGATTCAGGTCCTTAGTCTGAAATTCTCTTTCATGTTCTTGGGTGGCATTTTCAAACAAAAAAAGTTGTTAGGTACCCAAATACCACTGAAATGTAATGACAGCTGGTTGCCTCATTCCTTTAAACTTTCTTTCAAAATCACAACCTCTTTTTTATATGTAACGTCAGACAGTATCTAGTAGCCCCTAAAACTGACAAGAGATGTTATTGAAACTGCATAAAATCAGAAGAAATAAAGTCTCTTGCAGCTTTCAATTTCAAGGTACATGCCCTGCCTATCTATTGGGTATTTCCTCAGATCCATGCTACATGCCACAGTTTTAATTCCCCTTTAAGAAAGAGGGCAAAGGAATAGATGGAAACCTGGAAACAGAGTTAATGGACTATAGCTGTGGTGAGACAGCCAAGAGAGAGGGTCTTAGATATAAAATGTGGGTACCTCTCAACCAATGGTCAAGGCCTGGGTAAAAGGACAGCACACACAGACCAAAGTAGATTCTGGTTGTACCTGCACAGTACAATAGAAAGAAGGGCTGATCCCTAAGGAAGGATGAAGAATGATGTATCAACAGACCATTACATGCCCATATGAGGAAACTCAGACATATGATAGGGTCTGAGTGACCCTGAGTGTGAGGGACCTCACCCATGCGGTACCAGTCTGTGTGGTGGCATGGTTGGATTACCTAGTGATCCTTGGGCAAGACTGTCTGTGATTCCAGGAGGTGCTAGACATCACTTGGGGTGAGGGGGATGAGAAGGTGAGAGAAAATGGCATCCAGACTCCCTTGGCAGAAGGGTTAGTTGGTGGCAGAGAAAAGGAAGTGCCAGGAACAACCTGAACTGGAAGCATAGAAGGAAAATTTGGAATTGAACAAACTTGAGAAGACAGATTTTGCTATGCATCACCTGGACAAAGGAGAAGAGGAGATATCATATATTTAGACTTCAGGAAAACCTTTGACTTGGTCTCCCATAATGTCCCCATAGTAAAACTGGAGAACTGTGGCCTCGACAACCTTATGGTCCAATGGCTGGGGAACTGGCTCCGTGATCAGACCCAGAGAGTGATAGTCAATGGAGCCGTATCAACATGGCACATGGTGACAAGTGGCATCCCCCGGGGTTCCACACTTGGACCGGTACTCTTTAGTGTAATGATCTGGATTCTGGTGTCAGAAGTGGACTGGCTAAGTTGCTGATGACACTAAATTATGGGGAAGAGTGGTCACACAGCAGAATAGGCTAGCGATTCAGGCTGACCTGGACAGGCACACAAGGTGGGTAGATGAAAACTTGATGGCATTTAACACAGAAAAATGCAAGGTACTCCACATTGGGGAAAAAAACCCACATCATGCTTATAGGCTCAGCCATGCTACATTCACTAGCACCACGACCAAAAGAGACTTGGTGGTCATGATTGACCACACAATAAACATGAGCCACCAATGTAATGCCACAGCTGGCAAAACAAACAAAACCCTGGCTTGCATCTACCAATGCATCTCAAACAAGACCCAGGAAGTCATCCTTCCACTTTACTTGGCCTTGCTGAGGCTGCAGCTGGAGTACTGCATCCAGTTCTGGGCTCCACACTTTAGAAAGGATGTGGAGAAGCTTGAGAGAGTCCACAGGAGAGCCATGTGCATGATTAAAGTACACGAGAGAAGTCCTTATGTAGAAAAGCTAAGAGGCATGGGACTTCAGCCTGGAGAAGCAAAGGTTCAGGGAGGACTTGGTGGCAGCCTACAAGTATATAAGGGGAGTGCATCAGGAACTGGGAGAACATCTGTTCACCACGGCACCCCAAGGGAAGACAGGCTCTAATGGACACAAACTCCTGGAACACCGTTTTAGGCTGGACATAAGGAAAAACTTCTTTACTGTCTGAGTCCCCAGAATCTGAAATCAACTCCCCCCAGAAGTGGTGCAAGCACCTACTCTGGACACCTTTAAGAAACACTTGAATGCCTATCTTGCTGGGATCATATCATCCCAGCTGACTTCCTGCCCCTTGGGCAGTGGGCTGGACCCAATGATCTTGTGAGGTCCCTTCCAGCCCCAATGTCTATGAAATCACTTCTTTCCAAGAGGGTCTGGTCTTGTTTAATGATGAGGTATTGTACCCAGAATTGACCATGGCCACACTCCAATTTGAGATAAGAGACATTTTGTTGTATTGGATCAAACAGGAGAAGGTGGAAGGAGAAAGAAATAGAAACAGCTTCTGGTCCCAAAATGGTAGAGGTGGGCACCACTAAGAGTAGCACATGAGCTACCCACTGGGGGACACCTCAGGAGGGACAAAAAGGAGGCTGGGCTCATGGGAAAACTCTACTGGCCTGGGGTACTTTATGAGGCCACTGACTATTGTGCATCATGACCAGTTTATCAGTTAACACCAGGCAGGTCACCCAGATCCCTGCTATTACCCCTTCCCCTTAAAGAGATTTCATTTGAAAAGGTTGCCATAGACATTGTGGGCCCCCTTCTCAAGAGCAGCTCAGGATGCTAATATATTTTGGGTATCATGGACTATGCAACCTGATACCCTGAAGCAGTGTCCCTGTGGGCAGTAATGGCTACAAAAGTAGCTGAAGAATTACTGGAAGTCTTTACCTGGGTGGGATTATACCACGAAATACTGAAAGACCAGGGAATGAACTTCATGTCCCGTGTGTTTGAAGAGGCGTGCAAGACCCTAGGAATCAAACTTTTGAGGAGCTTGGTGTACTATCCCCAAACAGATGGGTTGGTTCAACCACATATTATAAGCATAATAAGGAAGTTTGTAACTGACAACACATGGAGATGGGAATGATTGTTACCACCCCTCCTGTTCACAGTAAGTGAAGCTCTCCAGGCCTCAGTGGGGTTTTCCCCTTTCAAACTGTTGTATGAGGAATCTTAGATCTAATAAAAGAGGGAAGGGAGGGACAGAAATGTAAAACCCCAAATCCACTACAGCCTAAGAACATTTTTAAGAGGCTCAGGGACAGCAAGAGACCGCCTGTAATAAGGCATGATAACAAACATTCTGTATCAGGGACCAAGTCTTGGTATTACTGCCAGGTCTAAGCTCTTAGCACATTGGCAGGGTCCCTGTGAGACTAGGTAGGGTTAGTAGACTATGAAGTCCACCAGCCTTATAAGTGGAAGACCAAGCAGATCTACCATGTGAATGTGTTTAAAGCATGGAAAGAGAGAGAAGTCCTATGGGTGACCCCGTGCCCTGAAGAACTAGAGCTGGGACCCTCAGGAGAGGCAGCTGATAGGTGGCAGACTGTACAGTTGAGCAACCAACTGACTGACCAGCAGTATACTCAAGCCACTTGAATAATAAGGGACTTCAGAGATGTGTTCAGAGAGGTGCCCAGGGAAGCCCATGGAGTAATACATCACCTTGAAACCCAACCAAGCAAGGTAGTGAGGGAAGCATGGAAGTGAATTCTACAGAGGCTACAGGGCCACATAAGGGCTGAGATCAATGCTATGTTAAAGAGGGGCATTATTACTGTCTCAAAGCAAGTAGAGAAGCCCCATAATGGCAGTCCCAAAGTCAGACAGAAGCATCCAATTATGTATAGATTTTCAGAAAGTGAATGAAATCACAAAATACAACATGTATCTGATGCCCCATGTCAATGAGATGATAGACAAGATTGGCCAGGCCCAATATATTTGCATGCTTGATCTTAATAAGGAGTACTGGCAAATGCCTCTAGGCCAGGAGGATCAAGAAAAGATGGTATCTGCCACTCCCTGGGGGATGCATGAGTTCAAGCACGTGCTCTTTGGGTTGCATGGGGTGGCAGCAACATTTCAGAGGATCATGAACAAGGTCCTAGTGCTAAACCAAGACTATGCTGTGGCCTTCACAAACAATATGATTATCTTTGCATCCAATTGGGAAAACCACCTCAAGGCACTCTGAAAAGTCCTGCAGGAATTGAGGGAGGCTGGACTTAAAGCAAACCCAAAAAAATGTACAAGGACTCTGCTAACCTGGGATTTTGTGTAG